GGTTTTTACTCCATGCTGAGGCCGACTATGCCCGTGGATACGAGATGAATTGAAGTGTGTTTGTTGCAGGACACGTGAAGATCGCCTGCATGCTGTATCGGCCCCATTACCGAAGAGAAAGTAATTCTGTTCGGAGTTGAAGTCTGCCGATTTGACACTTTAAACGAAATACTCAATTCGAAATCTGTGCCTCACTTCTGCATCGTATCCCATTAAATCCACCTTACGTTTGTAATCGCTGGCTTTCGCCTGATAATCATTCTATTGCGTACGTGTTTTTCGTGATAATTGCTCAGTGGAAATTGTTTTTTTCTGCTCATTTTTTTTGCGTTTCCTTCTGCCTCTTCATTGGCTGTAGTTTCTTCATTTGACTTTGCTGTTGTTCATTGGTCTGAAATTAAAAACTGCACGTTTTGTGGTGAGTGACTGCGTGATAACTCGGACCAGTTGTAGTGTCTCGTCATTATTGCAGTCCCATTGTCTGATAAGCTCATTGATTGTCTACGTGACATGTGCTTGTACCTAGCAATTCTATAGCAAAAGTACTCTGTTGTGACAAACACTCTTGCTTTTCATCTCATTTTCTATTGCACTAAATCAGCTTCAGTCTGATTTTTTTTTTGATTTTGAATGGTAATAATTGTTGTGAAACAATGCGTTTGACCCCAGCGAATCTTCGGCATCCACGTGCAACTGTTGAGGCAATATGGCTGGGTCGTATGTGCTACGAGAAGGCTTTAAATATACAGCACGAATATGTCCGGAAGATTATTGAAATCAAGGAGCACAACCTCAACGAGCCAATAAAGTCAGTATTCTTCATTCATCAGTTGATTTCATATTTATCCTAGATGTTAGGGTAATCACATGGAATTTCTCGGACATCATCGGAAAACTGATAAATGAGTTCGGTGAAAATTCAGATGTCGAAACTGATTCAGTGGTTCTCGAATACTTTTAAAATCTTTGAGCGGGTCACCAACTGCGGTGAATAAATGTGATTTCGATTCGTTGTGTTCGTTAATGAAGTGTTGTTGAATTTGCAGAAATCGTTTATTTCTATTGGAACACACACCAGTTTATACGGTTGGATTAAGAAGCCACATGTATTCTATGAAAGAAGAACTTCGATTGAGGGCACTCGGAGCAGATTTCTTTAGGTGAATGGAACGAAATTTTTGAACCGTTTAAGTTATGAATGTATTCAGAATGATGTTATGATTGATTTGCATGTTCGCACTGCACATCAGTTGTGGTCAACTGGGCATAATTAAAGGACTGATCGAGGTGGTTTGATAACGTTTCATGGTCCAGGACAGCTGGTAGCCTATCCAATTATGGACCTGTCGACATTATCAGTCTCGTCACCAGATGAGAAGACTCGACGTGTTGGCGTCAGACGATACGTTCATTTGATTGAGGAGACTATTATTCGAACGGTTGATAAGCTCGGAGTCAAAGGAGCTCATCGATCCCCTGATACTGGTTCGTTGATGTTCTGTGACGGCCAGTTTTTTGAAGACATTCAAAGCAACTCATAGTCAATATACATTTTTAAAGATATAAACAGTGAACAATATTTCATCTATATCTTAAAATAACCGATGAAATTCATACCAAAATTCGGAATGAGGATATGGATTGATAGTGATGGATAGAACAATTGAGGATTTGAGCTATGGAAATCTAAAGACGTTTGTTTTGTGATTGGCTGCATTTGAGGTGTTTGGCTTGGCAATGGAACACGAAAAATTGCGGCAATTGGCATAAACGTACGACGAGGCATAACGAGTCATGGTCTTGCGTTGAACTGTGATACAGATTTGAATTGGTTTGCGCAGGTAATTGATTTTGTATGGTGTTAGTGTTATCATGAACGTTCACCAACAATTCAATATGTTAACAGATTGATGAAATTCGGTTTTTTGTTATCGACCCTTTGCGAAAGCAATTCATTTTGCGTTAGCTCACTGTACTGACTGATTGATTTTAAGATAGTACCATGTGGACTGGTTGGTAAAGAAGTAACGTCATTATCGAAAGAACTGGGCAAAGATGTGGGCATCGTAGAGGCAATCAAGCCACTTTGTGAGCAGTTCGCTGAGGTGTTCCAATGTGATTTGGTATACGATGAAGATTTTTGTTCTGAAGTTGAATCTGCAGCCAAGCGAAAGGCTTTATATAGGAAGATAAAGGAAAATATTTCATCATTTTTCAAACTGGATGATTCTAAAGGTAGTTAGTTCGGAATTTATGATGTTGGCTTCTGATTTATTATGTTTCATTATTCAAATATATGTATGTACTGAACCATTGTCGTTTAAAATTGCTATGTTGTTGTATTAATCGCGATGTTTTGCGATAAAATGAAAGGTTTTCGTTTTTAACTTGTTGGAGTTACTGACTGAATTGATATAAAAATGGACGGATGAATGAATATTTTGAATGGTTTATTGAAATGGATAACGTAACGAACGATATTGATTAAATGTGATTAACAAGTAACAAACGACAAATATATAGAGATATTTATAAGTAACGACGCATCAGACATTTTGTATGCGATTGATTGCAGCAGCACGATCCAAATGATCCGAACAGACAATCGAATTGTGTTTCATATTTGAGTTGCTTTTAAATATAAGCACTTCTATCATCGTCAACAACCTCACGCGTCTACGAATCTATATTAGGGCTGTTCCGGAACCCCGTTCAGGTATTAGATCCGCTGTGAAGTCTTCATTCCGGACCTAATTCCAGTAATTTGGGTCCTGATACAGCCCCATCAACACATTATTTATATTGATGTGCACCGTCAAAGGAGCATGCATGGTCATTAGTACTGATGAGGCTTTCAGTGCGATTCATCTATTGAAACTCCGGCAGAGCGAAAATCAATTAGTACAACGTTCTAAAACAAAATTTAAGGAACTNAACACCACATGAAAGCTCTCCTTAGAATGATACACATGCAATAAGCTGCCTGCCCATCAGAATACATAACCACAGTCAATAACAGCAACATGAAGAGGCTTGTAACCAAAATTGCTTTCACAAAGAATCCGGCTGGCATTCGCCTTGAAAGCAATACCTCACATATCCAATTTTTGCCAATTCCTCAACTCATTCAACAAATTCACCTTGCTCAGTTCACCATCCAAATCCCATCCTCAAATTGAGAACGTGCGTTATCTCCTCTTGGTTACATGCCTCAATTATAATAAAAATGAAAATACAAGGAACACAATAGAGACAGCTATTACTTCAAAATGCTTTAATTATAATTTACAGAGACACTTTCTCCTAATCATATTTTGATGATACGAACAAGCACAGACACAATTCGATGAGGTTATCATTCGATGTTCACATTACAAATCTTCAAACAAAAACGATACAACACCTCGTTGAGGAACGAAGATATTGATATGAGGATGTTTTTCATTGCTGACATCTTGGATATCTCTCAGCAATAGTATAATATGCGCGACATAAATTGAAATCAACACTTCAAGAATAAATCATCTTTTGCGAAAGTACGACGGACGGGTATTCGACGACTCTCACTAAATCACACATGAACAGTCAGTTGCTTAAACAACTTCCCTCCACGTATCAGTAATAAATCCAAGCTGTCTGGAATTCGACTTGGCTCAAGCTTCAAAGCTTTCCACTTCATACTAGAGCGAAACGATTCATTCTTGAAATTCACTGGACTCACTAGGAAACAAAGTCAATTTAGTGAGATCGCAAGAAGCCGAAGCCAATTCCACGCCAAAACATAGCGGTCGTATTTTATCGTCGCGTACGACTTTGCATAGATTTCAATAAATACTCCCAGAAATAGATTTTTGAGTAAAAATGAAAATACAGAAACATCATTGAATTACTTCAATCATTGTCAACAATTGAATAAACATTATTCATACCTCGATGTCAATATTCTCTGAGAACCGACACACTTGAATAAAACGACTAACATAAAAATACAATTCGGCTGATCACAATACGAATCTCACAATCAAATAAGCATTTCCTTAATCGCGATTATAACATAAATCGCCCATTCCAATAAACCCAA